CTGTTAGTAGTGCATCCGGCACTATTAAACTCACTTTCGAGAGTATTCGTGACTTGATTGTAAATGAAGATATCAGACGGAGAAGCAATGGTGAGACTTCTAGTTCTAGTTCTAGTTCTTTATTGCATACAAAAAGTAGAGGAACAAGAAACGAAAGAGGACGTAGTCGAGGCAGATCAAAGTCTAGAAAAAGGGGGCAGTCCAAGAACCGAAAAGATATTGAATGTTGGAATTGCAAAGAAAAAGGTCACTTTAGAAACCAATGTCCAAAACCACAAGCTGAAAAGAAAGAAGTACACAATGTATCCTCTGAAGAATCGGGAGATTTTCTCATATGTTGTGTTGAGAATTCAATGGAATCCTGGATTATGGATTCGGGTGCTTCTTTCCATGCTGTCTCATGCCCAGATATGGTCAAGAACCTACAAACAGGTGACTTTGGCAAAGTTAGTTTGGCCGATGATCAAGTGCTTGATATTACGGGTATAGGAGACGTAGATTTGAAGACCTCCATGGGAACCACCTGGACATTGAAAGATGTCAGGGTTATCCCAAACTTAAGGAGAAAGTTGATTTCAGTTGGTAAATTGGATGATAAAGGACTTGATGTTCACTTTGGGGGTGGACAATGGAAAGTGATCAAAGGCAACTTGGTGATTGCCAAAGGAAAGAAGAAAGGCACTCTATACATGGTAGAGATACCTGGTGATGGTGTTCATGCCGTAACCACCAATCCGAGTCCATCTAATTTATGGCACCAACGACTCGGACACATGAGCGATAAGGGATTGAAGATGTTGGCTCAGAAAGGAAAGTTTCCAGACTTGAAGAAAGTCGAAACTGAATTTTGTGAATCTTGTGTTCTCGGGAAACAAAAGCGGGTTACTTTTGTAAAAACGGGGAAGACACCGAAAGCTCAGAAGTTGGAGCTTGTTCACTCGGATGTATTTGGACCAACACCAGTTTCATCTCTAGGAGGCAAAAACTACTATGTAACCTTTATCGATGATTCAACACGCAAGGTATGGGTCTATTTTCTTAAAAATAAATCTGATGTATTTGATACTTTTAAGATATGGAAATCTGCTGTTGAAAATGAAACTGATTTGAAGGTAAAATGCCTGAAGTCGGATAATGGTGGTGAATACATAAGCAAGGAGTTTGTTGACTATTGTGCCAAGCAAGGGATAAAGATGATCAAGACGGTCCCAGGAACCCCTCAGCAGAATGGTATTGCTGAAAGAATGAATAGAACTCTAAATGAAAGGGCTAGAAGCATGAGGTTGAATGCCGGTTTACCCAAGACGTTCTGGGCCGATGCAGTTAACACTGCTGCCTACTTGATCAACCGTTCACCGTGTGTTCCCTTGGATTTTAAATTACTAGAAGAAATGTGGCAAGGGAAGGAAGTAAGTCTCAAACACCTGAAAGTCTTTGGTTGTACTGCTTACAGTTTGTTAAAAGATGGTGACAGGGATAAACTTGATTCAAAGACCAAGAAGTGCACATTCATTGGTTATGGGTCAGGTGAAATGGGTTACAGGCTTTGGGATAGTGACAGCAGAAAGATAATCCGAAGCAAGAATGTCACCTTTAACGAAGCCGAGTTATACAAAGACAGAAACAACAAAAGTCCAGAAGATCAGAAGGAGTATGTTGAGTTTGAAGGTGTTGAAAAGAAGAAAGAAGCTCCAGTCGAAATCCCTGAATCTGGGGATGATTCAACTAACAGTGGGAGCTCAGTGGATAATTCCAATAATGATTCTGAAGATGAAGAAACCAGTCCTCCAACTCCAGAGTCCCCAGTCACACCTCAAGTTCAACTAAGAAGATCTTCCAGAGTCACCAAACCACCAAACAAATACTCACCATCTGTCAACTACATTCTTTTGACAGAAAACGGTGAACCCCAGTGTTACTCTGAAGCTATAGGGTTGAAAGATTCATTGCAGTGGGAGCTAGCAATGAAAAATGAAATGAAGTCGCTTGAGAAGAACAAGACCTGGCACTTAACAAAGCTTCCAGTTGGGAAGAAGGCTCTTCAGAATAAATGGGTTTTCAGGGTCAAAGATGAACATGATGGTACCAAACGGTACAAAGCAAGATTAGTAGTCAAGGGCTTTCAACAGAAAGAGGGAATCGATTTCAATGAAATATTCTCTCCAGTAGTGAAGATGACCACTATCAGACTTGTTCTCAGTATTGTAGCAGCAGAAGGTTTGCATCTAGAGCAGCTAGATGTCAAGACAGCTTTTCTACACGGTGATCTAGATGAAGACATTTACATGACACAACCAGAGGGTTTTCAGGTTAAAGGCAAAGGAAACTTGGTGTGTAAATTGAAGAAGAGTTTGTATGGTCTGAAACAAGCACCCAGACAATGGTATTTGAAGTTTGATAACTTCATGAGAAGAGTTGGTTACAAGAGATGTGACAATGATCATTGTTGTTACATCAAGAAGTTTAAGGGTTCTTATATCATTCTACTACTCTATGTAGACGATATGTTGATTGCAGGTTCAGACATGTCAGAGATCAACAAGTTGAAGAAACATATGTCTGAAGAATTCGAGATGAAAGACTTGGGAGCTGCAAACCAAATACTCGGGATGAGTATTTCCAGAAACAAAGAAGATGGCTCTTTGACACTCTCTCAAGAGAAGTACATTGAGAAAGTGTTAGAGAAATTCAGCCTTAAAGAAGCCAAGATCAGAAGCACACCCTTGGGAAGTCACTTTAAGCTTTCTAAAAATCAATCACCCAAATCAGATGAAGACAAAGCAGAAATGGCTAAAGTTCCATATGCATCTGCAGTTGGTAGCCTCATGTATGCAATGGTATGCACGAGACCAGATATTGCTCATGCAGTGGGAGTTGTTAGTCGGTTTATGTCCAATCCGGGGAGAGAACATTGGGAAGCAGTTAAATGGCTGCTAAGATATTTGAAGGGGACTTCAAAAGTGGCATTACATTTTAAGGGGAAAGATGTTATTCTGAAGGGTTTTGCGGATGCAGACCTTGGTGGTTGCAAAGAATCATACAAAAGCACTACCGGGTATGTCTTTACAGTGGGAGGCACTGCGGTAAGTTGGATGTCCAAATTACAGAAAAGTGTTGCCCTTTCAACCACAGAAGCAGAGTATATGGCAGTTGCTGAAGCAAGCAAAGAACTTATATGGTTGAAGAATTTTCTCATCGAACTTGGCAAAGAACAAGATAATTTTGAACTATTCTGTGACAATCAAAGTGCAATTCATCTTGCAAAGAATCCCGTCTTCCATTCGAAGACAAAGCACATACAGCTGAGATATCACTTCATCAGAGAAAGAATTAATGATGGCACTCTGAAGTTGAATAAGATCAAAGGAACTGAAAATCCAGCTGATATGTTGACTAAGGTTGTCACCTTAGAGAAGTTGAAGCTTTGCATAGCTTCAACTGGCCTTCAGGATAATTGAAGAGAAGGCCGGGTAACTAGGATGGAGTCAAGATCAAAAGTGTTTTACAGAAATACAGATGCACAGTTGAAGCACAGGTGAAGATTGTTCCGTGGCTTCAAGTGGGAGATTGTTGAGTGTGAATCCACGTCAAAGTGGTCCACAGAAAAGTTAGTCAAAAAAGAAAAAGGAATGGTCACCCGGTTCTTAAGGACCATGTTTTGTGGCTTTCCTTTTCTCCATTCAATCCTATATAAGATTGTATTGTATCTGTAGTTTCATAACACACAAAAAGAAGAAGAAATAAAAACTCCTAGTTACCCTCGTGTGGACGTAGGTCAGAAATAGACTGAACCACCTTAAATCCTTGTGTTCTTGTTTTTCTATAATTCGTGAGCTGAGAGTGAGAGTTTCGTGTTCGTGTCTCGATCCTAACACACCTCACCTTTTACAATTGAAGTAAAAAGAAAAAGGGCAGCCTGGTGGCTATGGATGTTTTTGAAAATTAGCTTCTAGCCTTCTATGCATACACACTTCTTAATCCATCCAAAAACATCTTATGATTAAAAACCATTTCTTTGCTTTTAGACCTGTAAAAACTTGTGTGTTGATATGTTATTCTTGCAGTGAATACCAAATTCCCATGCATTTGTTTTGTGTTTTTTGCTTTATTTTTTAAATGACCAAATAGCCAGAATTTTGTGAATTATAGCAATGTACTTTGAAAGTACATTGCTATTTTAGAGTATTAAGACATCTTTTAAAAAAAACATCGTTGTAATAGAAAGAAATGAAACTTTAAATTAATCTAAATACATTTTTAACAATGACATGGCTATTTTAATTCCATTTGCATATACTATAAAATATTTATTTGTTATTTTTACTGAAAATTTAAAAATGTCTTATTTTCTGGAAAATTAAAAAAAAAATTCCCTTTTTTATTAAATAAATCCAAAAACATATTGTAACCAGGTAATATTCTTATGCTACAATGCATTATCCGTAGTCAGATTACCTTTTTATGCATTATGATATTTTTGAAGTATAGAATTATATTTAATTTGCAAATACAATATATCAAAGGGTATAATTAGGAAAACATGTGTTAGGAATCTTACAAGCTTCTTTCCGCTATCCTTGAAGGCATTTCCTAGGGCTGCAACACTTGAGTCAATCCAAATTACGCTACAACTTTTTGTTGACATTTAATATATATTCTTTATATATAATAATTATAAACATATGAACCATGGTTTCCACGGGTTATAACCTACTATATATATATATATATATATATATATATATATATCTATATATATATATATATATATATATATATATATATATATATAAGTTGGAATTGTGTATATGGATGACAGAATATATTTTTACGTAAATGTTGGGTTGACAATAAACATAGTCTTACACCAGCTGGCAGCTACTTAGATTCAATACATGATGCTCTTGGGGTGGCCAGAAAAATAAATTTATCTATTTATTTATTTATTTATTTTAATGAAATTCAAATCTAAAAATTGGCATACCATTAAAATGATGCAGGGTGCGTCTGGAATCATATTTCCGATCATAAAAGCGGAAGGAGTACGGCAGATGTTCTTCCCTGCGACAGTGCCTGCATATTACAGAGCTCCTCCCACTCAATGAACAACAGGATGAGGCTTTCATTTGTATTATATTCTTTACTCCAGTCTTCGTATTTGATTGCCTTTCCAGTTGTCTTTCTTTATAGATTGTTGGAGGTGGTCATCCACAATCCACATTCAAGGGTTTAGCGGTTAGTTATTAGGTTTGAGTTTCAGGTATGTAATCTGATTTCATATTTTGTTTTAGATTGTAATACGTCATAGTATATCCAAAATACCTGGTAATGTGATAAAATCATCCCAAGCTTCAACACACTAAGCATAAAGATTACTTCTAAGTGAACAAATTAAAATCACTCCCTGTGATCTTAATTACAACATGAGAGAATGCTAAATAGAAAGTTGTTCCTTAATCTTGTTAATCGTAAGAGTCCTTGTTGATTGCTCTTGTTTCTCTCAAGTGTAAATTGCCAAACACACGGTTAACTGGTTATTCAAGTGTTTTTGTGTCAACAGTCAACCCTTCTAAACTAACTTAATACCTGCTGGTAAATGATTATATAATATCACTGTCTATGCAAACGATGATGTCTTACATGATGCACCAATAATGAAATGAAATGTGGATGTAAAACAAATGTAACGAATTCCAAAATTTTGATTTATACAGAAAATAGTAACATAAGCATCCTAATTTCCAGCATTCATATGCAACATATCAAAGTATGTTGCTATTTTTACATCTATTCCAAACTTAAAAACTTGAAAATTTTAAATGTAATAATTAGAAGCATTAACTGCTATTTATGTGAACCATTTACAAGTAAATGTGACCTTTGGTTTGCTTTTAGGAGCATCATCTGTTTAAATTTATTTTTCTTACCCCATTTAAATACATTCGTTCTACCCTTTTATATACAATCTTCATCTTTGTTTTGCGTCCCTTTCGCTTTCATCCTCTCTCGTTGCATACTTCTTTCACACTATCAACTAATCTAACCTTTTAGGAGTTGTAAATATTTGGCAGGCAGCTCAAATACAACTTTGCAAATGGAAGTTAGGGTCAAAAAATGTTTGAAAGAAAGTAGAATCCAGAATATTTAAAACAAGGAAGAAATTGAATTCTATCCCGAAAAATCATTCAAACTATAAAAGCTCAAGTGTTTAAAAAATGGAGAAATATAACCAACATCATCATATGTTGTAATGAAGTTTTCCTAATCTCACCTAAATTTTATTTTGCCTAACATATGACTACTCTTTTTGCAACTATATAACAACTGATTGTCAACAACATTTTAAATGCTCCCCAAGAACCCACAAAACATTACATCGGGGAATATATATATATATATATATATATATATATATATATATATATATATATATATATATATGTTACACAATGTCCATAAAAAAGAATTTCATAATCATTCTACAGCTTCTTTATTTCATGTTTTTTCTTTCAGACTTTATGGCCTCATAAGATGTCATAACCTCCTTGAACCTTGCTTCAGCAACATCTGCAGCATTACACAATTGTCAATTTCATAACACCAATCACTTGCATATCCTCATCTAAAATTAACTAAAATGTCCACTTGGACACCGTATCAGTGCCATGTCAGCACGTTTAACCAGTCAACATTTTGACTGACTGGAAAGTTTAGGGACCTAGGATGAACATGAAATGGAATGGTTTTCTTGACATTTCCTGACTTTAGCACTTATTAAAGTAAATGATTGTAATACAAGATAATAACTACAAAAACCCTAAATGACATAAAAACCTTTTTAACTTTTTCAAAAAAATACCGTTTTACCCTAACATCACTTTTTTGTGCGTTAAAACCAAAACTTTGCATTTTTTTTTTCTACTTTTGCCTTTTCACCGGTTATAGCAGGTTTCCAAGTTACCATGAAATCAAATTTGTAAGAAAACCCTTAAGTTTATAAACCTGTTATGTTTTTAGCTTAAATATGTTTTTTTTTTTTCATATTACACATACGTATTCATGCAGAAATAAATGTATTTATACACAAAAAAAGTATTCAGTTAAACATCATATTTATGTTTTTCAGATGCAAAAATTTCTTTATATTTGGGTTACGGTTTAAATGTAAATACATATTTTTACATTTATAAAAGTATAGAAGTATATACACGTATTTTTATGTATTTAGGAGTATAGATACAGTTTTTGGAAGTATAAATATGTATTTTTACATTTCTTAGAAGTATAAATACATTGTTTAGAAAATATTAATACGTTTTAGAAGTATAAATACATATTTTTACGTATTTAGAAATATTACTTCTAAAAAACATATTCATACTTCTAAAAATGTATTTATACTTCTAAAAAACATAAAAATACATATTTGAACTTCTAAAAATGTAAAAATACGTATTTATACTTCTAAAAATGTATTTATACTTATAAATACGTAAAAATACATATTTATACTTCGAAAAAACAAATTAATATTTCTAAAAATGTATTTGTGCTTCTAAAAATATAAAAAATACATATTTATGCTTCTAAAAAATGTATATATACTTCTAAAATCATACAAATATGTATTTATACTTCGAAGAACATATTAATATTTCTGAAAAAAGTATTTATACTTCTAAAAAACATAACAATACGTATTTATATTTCTAAAAACATATCTATACTTATAAATACATAAATATATATATATATATATATATATATATATATATATACATCTCTACTTATAAAAATACGTATTTACATTTTATGCCGTATAAATAGGCAAAAAACCAGCACATAAAGAAATAGCATTTAAAAAAACATAGATAGGATGTTTAAATAAAAAAATAAATACTAATAATAATAATAATAATAATAAAATCGTATACAAATACATGGTAACCTGGAAACCTGCTATAACAAGTAAGGGCAAAAGTAGAAAATAAAAACTTGCAAAGTTCCAGTTTTAATGCACAAAAAAGTGATGTTAAGGTAAAATCATATTTTTTTTTCGAAAAACATAAGGGCTTTTATGTCAACAACATAAATCTTATAAATAAACAAATTTGACCTCAACACCCTTGAATCATTTGAAACAGAGCTACAAATTCTTATATCCAGATTATACATAAAGTTAGATAATTTCAGTAAATGAACAATTATGTAAAATGTTCCTACCTTTGTTTTCTTGATTCTGATCAGGGTGAAATTGCTTTGCCTTGCTCCTGAATGCTGTCTGCAGCATCAAGAAAAAAAACAGTTTATATCTATGCAGCACGCATTATATATATATATATATATATATATATATATATATATATATATATATATATATATATATATATACATCTGGAAAAATTCTTCAAATCTAATGCAAAAAAATAAAAGCAGACATAATAACGTAACAGTTAGTGAAGATTTAATTAAATATTTGTCATTTACCTTAATCTCATCATCTGTGTATGGTTTTGTCCTCGACCTATTTACAAGGAAAAAAAAAGAATAAAGAGTGTTTAGTTTATTTCAAATGAAAATTAAAGATCATCATGTACGACTGTAACACCGGTTTGTCAAGGACAGGAATGTACATATTATTTTAATTTAACAAAAATAATGTAATGTTATTTGGTTCACCTGCTAAGACCCAAGATTGCATAGTGGTGTGACAATGAATAATTTATAGGGGAGCGAGGAGGAGGAGGTTCCCTAAAGTTACTTCTATTTCCATGTGCTGTTGTATCAGTTTTCCAGTACCAATCTTCTCTTTGGAAATGTTGATGATATCCGCCATTACCATTATTTTGCCTCCAACTCTCATAACCCCTTTGGTGTTTACTTTTTTCCCGATTAAACACGCTTTGCATGCGCCTTATACGCTCCTACCAACAAACAACATGAATCACTTTTGACTTTACTCACACAAAACAAGCATAAATCAATAGTAAAGACATCTATATGTTATATAATGGGGCTACAAGTTTTAAAATACTAAACTCTCCCTAAAGTAATAGGTTTACGTATCCATTACCTTTCTCATGCAACTTGGATTTTTACTTGTGCTGAAATCCTTTCTATTGTCCGTGGATTTTATGCTTATGTTTAAGCCAATTTAGTATTTTCATTAAAACACTTTGTAAAAAAAAAATCATATTTGGACTTGGCACAACTTCCTCCATGAAAGCACATTGTCGGTTGTAAACGGGTTTTAGTAGTGACGCTTAATCCTAATCGCTCATTAAAGCGGTTGGAATTTTGGTTGGTTTGCCTAATGACTATTCTCAGGCGTATGAGATTGATTATGATTAGACCCTTGGTTTAAAAAAGCTCAGACTAGGCGCGCTTAATGCGCTAGGCGCCCAAGCGATGACCAAAAGCGCATCAAGTAATGAGATGCGATGCGATTCCCTTAGTCGGTCGCATTTTCCCGCTTTTTACCGCATTGCGCTTCAGCGCTTAATACCGCTCAGGGTAATTAATAGAAAATGGGCTTTTAATTAAGTTAGACGGGCCAATAGATTTATATAAATAAAGGAAAGGGATGTAGAATCAATATTGTTAGAGGCGGTAAACACGATTACACAAACAAAGCAAATCGTATCATCGCTCCAACTCATCTTCTCCAAGTAATCAGAAATCAACTCTGCTAATGTTTTCTACTTCCATTCCATTATACTAATCCACATATTCTATTCTCTTCTCAAGTCTAAAACTCTAAAGTCTGATAGTCTGAAGTATGAAATTTGGTCATTATATTTATACGTTTTCTGTTAAGTTGTTTGCTATTAACGTGTGTTACCTAACTGTTAAGTCATACACATAATTCATAAGTTATTTGTTATCATGCATGATAGTATAGACGATTTCTAGTACCAGTGCTTAGGATTTAATATGATACTACTATGATTTTACGAGATTTTTAAGTATTTATAAGTATTTTCATATATTTTATATTTTTTTCAATTTGGGGCGCATCGTGTGCTCTAGGCGATCGCTTTCGCTTAGCGCTTAGCGCATCGGTCCCCAAAGGCTTTAGCGCTTTAGGGCGCTTTACGCTTTTTAAAACCAAGATTAGACCTTTGCAACCACAGTTGGTGTTGTACTCTAGAGATTTAACAGAAGATGATAAACAGTAGGTGAGCAAAGAATGAATTACAAGAAATTGTAACCCTAGCTTTTGAGAGGCTAGTC